CTGGTGTATGAGGATTTACGTAAGGTGCGCAGTCATTATGCAAGCTTCTCTGATACGGAGGACTATTCAGCGGTGGACTGATAGGTGAAGGATGCATTGCGATTGCGTGAGGTGCATAAACATTATTAGGATCAAAGTTATCATTACGACTTATTGCGTATGGCGCACCGTTAATTTGAYGCAACATCGGATTATTTTGGACATTTGGATCGTAGAAATTGGCTGCCTAGCATCTTCTTTGTTAAACTTTCTTTGTTTAACATGTGCTCCTTTATCTTTTCCATAATTATGTTAGAGTACAAGCAATAAATGTGTACAATACTACAAAATAGTGCTAATAATAAACAATAGAAATAGCATACTTTAGCAGTATTTAGTGGTATTTTGTACACATCTATTTGTACTCTGCTTTATAAAATCAGTATACTTGTTTCCAAAAACTCATGAAATTCACTGTAACCGTCGTTTTCTTCCTAATTTACGTGTACTACGCTTTAGTATTGCACTTTGTTTCACAGGGTTTTACATTGACTCTAATTGATAATGGCAACAATTCATTAGAGTGCATTCATTATATCTGTGAAATATTTTGTAAGAAACTGCACAAAATTACACTAATTCAGGATTTCACACCAAATTGTCAAATTCAGTTTTCAAACAATTTACGAATATAATCTATCATACATATATAAACAGCTACCTTTCTCATTTTCATTAATTTTCACATGTATTTATTCAGCCTGAGTCACATGCAGTCTTCGACTGCCTATTTTTTGTGGTAGGCAAAGTCTAGCAAAATAACAACGATACAGTGTGAAATCGATGTCAAATAATTCCAGTTGAATTCCTATTCATGTTAGCATGAGTGTGCAAATAACACGGCACGGCACAAATGAARCTTATAGAGAGTTTTTCGTTTGACTATCAAAACACGGCAGCTTTTCCGAATGTTGTTACGTTTCACTGTAATACGAACAGTCATCTAAGTTGTCAGGACCCTTAATCGAAGGTGTTTTTATGGTCTGTACGCTTATGAACTGATCAAATCTCAGAAAACATTCGAGTTGTCCATTTATTACAGCCATTCCAAATGGAGACGTTTAGAATCAAACAATCAGTCAGTAAAATGTTAGTTTGATGTTGAATGTATGTAACATAAGTTTGATATTGATCAGATCAGAGACTGGGACTAATGCAAACTTCAAAAATCAGTTGTCGATAGATAAAGCACATATAAGTTGCATGTAAGTTGGCTACAAGTTTAAAGTTTGAGCACGTTTAAGTCATTAGAAATGGAAATGGAATTTTCCAAAAGTTTTTAAAAGTTAATCRCATGTATGGCCTCCAAAACTATTTCAAAATCACAATGACTTTAGTCACGACGTTGTTATTCACGTCCCAATAGGAAGTTTAATTTAAAGCAAGTTTTAAGTCTTATATATTACTGGTCAATAGCTGTACAAATTATTCCCTGAAGAAGCCCTCCGTTAAGAGATGAAACKCGTAGTAAATTAAAAGGTTTGAAACTATTCAGTTCTCCTTAGTGCTGCTCAATAGTCTTAGTTAATTTTTATTAAAAAAATATCGTGTTTTATAGAAAACTAAGAATCCTGCTAAAAATCCAACTCGAGATCCAACTCGAGATCCAACTCGAAATCCTAACTAATCCTAATCCTAATCCTAACATAAAATTTTCTGTTGCATCAGAAGCGATTGCATCCGAGCTAGACTACTGCAAGAGAAAAAGCTTGATCTAGAAAAATGTATCAGTATCGTAAAAGCTGCCGAAATTTCAACATCTGAAGTAAAAGACTCGCAGGTAGCGAAAAAGTTCATAGAGTAGAACATAAACAAAGTGAACGAAGACAGGCATCGACTCCATTTGAATAAAGCTTTTTAAAGCGTTCTCATTACCCGTTACCCGTTATTGAAGAAATACTTCCAGAGCTATCAAAAGACTTAAAAGATTCCTTCAAGTGGAGCTTGACGAAGAGTCCAGTGAATTGACCACCTTTCACCTTGGGGACGTTATAAATGGGTAAGAATGCCTTTTGAAATGACGCCAGCCCCTGAATACTGCCAACAGAAGCTCGATCAAAACCTAGAAGGATTGAAAGGAACATTCAAGATCGCAGACGACATTTTAGTAATCGGTCAAGGTGACGACCCAAATAAGGATCATGACGAAAACCTACGTAGAGTACTAGAAAGATGCCGAAGCAGAAACATCAAACTCAACCAAAAGAAGTTTACAAGACTGACGCTGTCTCATTCATTGGTCATTTGCTAACTAAAGACGGTCTAAAGCCAGATCCATCGAAAGTAGATGCGATTACAAACATCGAAAGACCCAAAGATGAAGCTGTTAGAAGACTCATTGGTATGGTAAAGTACCTATCGAAATTMCTTAAAGACCCGTCCACAGTATCTGAACCCCTAAGAAGGTTGACGCACAAAGGTGTTCCATTTCAATGGCAGAGAGAGCACGAAGAGTCGTTCCAAAGTATCAAACGGATGGTATCTCAAGCCCCAGTACTCAGGTAATTCGATTCCAAAGAACCACTTGAGGGTCAAGGAGATGCATCATCTACAGTTTTAGGATTCACGTTGATGCAGAATGGCCAGCCAGTGACATTTTCAAGTCGAGCGCTCACTACTGCAGTAAGAAATTACGCTCAGATCAAGAAAGAACTGTTATCACTAGTCTATGGTTTGAAACACAATCATCAATACGCATACGGCAGACCAATTAGCTCATTACAGATCACAAGCCACTAGTTGCGATTTACAAGCTTAGAAGCCTTTAGCTACCGCACCCAAGCGTTTGCAACGACTACTATTGCGTCTACAACAGTACGATGTCACAATAGAATATTTAAAARGCGAAGAGATGTATATCGCAGACACGTTGACACGTGCGCACCCTCCTGCACCAATTACGARATCACAGGCAGAAGAAAGGTTTTAGCCATATCTGAGACCCAGCTTCAAWAAATCCAAAACGAAACAAGCTGCGATTCAACACTTCAACAGCTGATCAACACAATCCATAACGGATGGCCTGAAGTGAAAGCCAAATTGCCTAAAGCATTACATCCATATTACGACATTCGTGATGAACTGACAACACTTGATGGAGTCGTACTTAAAGGACAAAGATGCGTGATACCACCTGGTTTGAGAACAAAGATAAAGAAAAAGATCCACTCAAGCCACACGGGAATACAAAGTTGCTTGCGCAGAGCACGAGAACTAGTCTATTGGCCTGGGATGAATAAGGATCTCAGTGACTACATATCCAAATTCAACATACGCACATCACAACAGAAAGCACAAGCCAGAGAACCACTGATCCACCATGAACAACCAAGCCGTCCATCGGAGAAAATTGCTACTGACATCTTCACTCGCAATGGTAAGGACTACCTCTGTACTGTAGACTATTATTCTGATTACTTTGAAATAAACCTGCTGAGCAAGAATACAAGCCAAGTAATCACAAGTAAGCTTAAGAAACACTTTGCTACCCATGGTATTCCATAAGTTGTCATCTCGGATAATGGACCACCATTTGACAGTGATGATTTTTCATCATTTGCAAAACGTTATRAATTCGAGCACAAGACCAGTTCACCGCATTATGCACAGAGTAATGGAAAAGTAGAAAATGCTGTAGGAACTGCGAAACGTTTGCTAGCGAAAGCGACTCGTGCAAAGACTGACTGCGAACTAGTCCTAGTCCTTGATTGGCGCAACACTCCCTCTGAAAGTCTCAACAGTTYATCTGCTCAAAGATTGTTCTCAAGACGTACGAGAACAACAATGCCAACTTCTAACTTTTAACTCCTAAAGTTGTAGTAGCCGAGAGGAAGAGTCCAGACGAGTCACAAGTTTCAAGTACTACAACATGCACACAAAACTGTCAAAATGCATTTGATATTAATTTATAATTCCTGTATGATTGAAAAATGTCAAACTGTCAAAATATATTAATAGTTCTGTAATATTATCTAAGGAAGTTTTATTTCGTAAATAATCTAAATTATGTTTTTAATAGAAAGATTAGTAACATTATACATGGTGTACTCTTCATAATAAATTGTTCACTATCAGAATGCACACAAATATTACAAGAATTCAAAATGATTGTGTACACACATTTACAATATTATATATATCACTGCTTTGCATCGACAAAGCTGAAGAGGATTAGAGTTATAATATTCAATGTAGTGCCATGAAAGTTTTTTTGTTAGCAAAAATATATTAGTCTTAACAATGTGTAGTCTGACCAATGTGTCTTACATCCTATCTTTATATCCAACGTGCATGTCTTTTGGGAGCTCCGCTATTAGGTTCTACCTAATTTTTATATTACATCGTGGCCTTTTTCTAATGTTTTGTTAGGGAGTATGCCTGCACATGCGTGCACAGTGGTCGGAACGAAAAGCTTGAAGTATCCCACATTGAACATTAGACGCTCCTGTTCCCATATAAAAAGCATGTATTTACATACTGTGTAGCAGCTTGGCCAAAGCTAGGATTTATCATGTGCGCGGCGCGATTTCAAAATGTAGGTAGCAACATAACAAGTCCTGCATAAATGAATTTTGAATGAATTACCCACACGAAGATCAGCTTATAATGACTACGGGTTTTTCCCAACTGTACCACCTCGCCGTGCCTCGCTCAAGACCTTACATCTCATTCTGTTCTGTYATCTACACCGCTAATGAATTCGAACCGTTTTCTATTTTCTATTTCTTTAATATGTAGATACCATTTCATACGATTCAATCGACGGATTTTTTCTTCTTCGATTAAGTGAAATATATTTGCGTGCAATAAAAATCAAAAGTTTTTTCCACTATTTAATGTACAGTATGCAGGTGCTCGCATGTGCTGACTGGGAGTTACCTTTTGAAACCCTGAGTTAAGGGTATTTGTCTGTTTTTTCCTTTAGATATTTTGATGGAAATTTTCTCGAATCTGTTTCATGTGCTTCAAGCATTTTTCTAAAAGCTATTGCTTCTCTATAGCCTTCCCAATAATTTTTACTCTTGTTAACCTTATATTCAGTTGACATCACTGGCTCAGGGCACTCAAGATGATCTCGCTTGCCTATCTTTGGTAGAGGGGACAAAACTTTATCAGGATTAATCTCATGAGCCTTCAAAACCTCGTCACGCTCAATCATATGATCACACAAGTAACATTCAAAACCTGCATACATACGATGACCAAAGTTCACTTTGTCCCATTCGCCAAGAACGCGCCATTGGCGGTTTTTGATGACATTCAGTAAATAGTCATTTGTTATTCCTCCTGGTTTCTTGTAATCTAGGTATTCTAAGTATGCCTCATCATTAGAGTCCAGATACTTGATATAATCAGCTAGATCCTCAGGAGTTTGAAAACTGTCCACAAATATTGCACTCTTGTTATTAGGCATCCAGTCTCTAGCAAGGGGTGAGCCCATGTAGATCGGAACAGAACCAACTTCAATTGGACGGAACAATTTCTCTGTCATATAGTCGTTACAAATGGCATTCTCAAAAGCTATGTGGAATTTATATTGGGCTAGAAATGCATAAAACCTTGGGCTGTGAAGCTTAATAAAACCATTAATTTCATCAGGCATATCTTTATTGTTAAGACATGGGCCATAGGAGTCGATTGTAAGATGCTTCATCAATTCCTTCACATAATTTTCCCGATCTGAAGGTGTGTAACAGTCGCGCTGTACATACACTACAGCCGCTAATCTCTTCTCTTTTTTTAACCTGAAAAATACACATATATTTATATAAGCAATARATAACTTTTTGTGTGTGTTTACATAGCCTGATGCAAACACGAGGTTAGGTTGGAAGAATTCGAGATGCGGTTATTCATGAATAAGCTCGTATTCCTTTTTTTAGATTGGATATTGAACTGGTAGTTTTTWTTATGTGTACTATATATGAGAAACTATAAAGAGACTCATTGAACAATCGCAGAAATGAAAGAACTCTCAATTCTCAAGCGCAAAAAGAAAATGACAATTTCTTGTACTTTTCTAATGTAGTATCAAATAAAAAAACATCACTTATTTTCCTAAATTTTTAGCTTCATAGAAAAATACAACTTGCTTTTGACACGTTATTGTACAATAATAAAGATGCATTTACAGTCAAAAGACATGAARCGCGCCCCCTCAAAACACCATTATTCATTTCATTATTAAATTCTTGGTCGATTCAACATTACATTATTGAAATCAAATTTGAATTCAATCTTTGAAATTTGATTGGATTATTGATTGGATTTTCATAAAGCCTTCTTCTTTTTTCGCTTGTAAACATGCAGGTTCTTTGTAAATTCCGCATTGCAATATGCTGTCTGTTACTATAGTTGGATCCGTTCCTTTTCGTGAGAAAGGAATGACGGTCTCAAAAAGCTGGAAATGCTGTGTTGTTTTCTGTCATTATCAGAGTTCGAGATTTGAATTTAATTCTGCATTAATCAACTAAAGTTTGAAGACGAAAAAAGAAAACAATAATGCACTGAATAACGAACTATTCGGGGGGCGCGCTTCATGTCTTTTGGCTCTAAGCTTCGGTTACGTTTTTTGTTGTTTTAYTTAGTTGCCTTGTTTATCTAAGTTTACACCGAATTTCTATGTACTCAAAATCTACAAGAACATTTATGCAGAATACTCATAACTAAACTTGTTTATAAGTTTCTGATAAATTTTTGGTTATATAGCTGATTTTCCTCTTTTCTACTTCTAGTTTTGAAATGTGGTGAAGTCAAAACCATGCTTACATACTGTCATGCAAACACAGTACTCGGCCAATCCGAACGCACGTAGTATCTAAGTTATTTTAGAAATATTATTCTAATAATAGTCACTTAAGAGGGACTAAAAAAAGAACAAATTCGAGAACACATGGCACATCATTAAAAATCAAAATCCTTCCCAATTTTTTCCATTGAGACCCTATGTATAGGATAATGGATGAGCTCCGAGGTTGTAAACATGCCACCTCCTCAGTACTGTTTAAGGAATTTTATACTGTAAATGCTACGATTTTATCTTTATAATTCAAGTAGTGGTTTGTGCTTTTTTGAAAATCGAATGGCTTTTTATTTCGAAATTGGCCACCAAATTCGCGGCAAACTGCTGACCTTTTTGTCTGCTTAACAGCAGTCCCAGCATCCTTTCTGGGCTTACAAACACAGGAACAGAATCATTCAAGAAGAAGAGGTTTATTKCTCGTTTTCTTACAAAGATACTTAGAAATTGATTCTCTTAACATAAAATTATCAATATGCAGCACTATTCAATATTTGTATCCAATTAAAGGGCTTATTTAACATTCAGACCTAAAGGGCGAAGGCTTCTGTCTCATGGGCTATCAACTGAGCTCTAAGTCCACAAGACCAAGAGGTCTAAGAGGTCTATTTCTTTTAGTCTTTTCGAGACGTGATTACTATTTCAGACTTCAAAATAATATTGCATATATTTTAATTATAATGACCATATGAAAAACAAGCAGAAGACCGGGAAGGAACTCCTTAAACGGTCCATTAAAAAAATGTTTCCACTAAGACAGATTATATGTAAACTAGACGCTCTTGGAGCGTAAAGTCGGGCTAGCTATTTTTGAAAATTGAGAAAGACAGGATATCACATGGGTGCGCGTATAAGAGAACGAGTGAAAGGTTTTTAAACACGATAAGATGATGATGTTATATTCTGTCTAATCATATCATTATATATGAATGTAAATTATGGCGTAGAATATATTTTTTTTTACTTCTAATACATAGTGAAAGCAAGAATGCGTTACTTTCACCAAGGGCGCTAGAACTGAAATAATGACCTAAAAGATCGAAAAATTGCTTAATTTATCCAACATCCAAATGATGATCTTTACTCAAACTCTCAAACGTTTGTTGCTGAATTTATTACCGCTGTCCTTGTTGTACCAGCCACTGCTGTCTCGCCAGGAACGTTATTCATTAACGGAAATCACTTTGCCCTGAGTAAAGATCATCATTTGAATGAATTTGGTAAAATCAAGTCTTTTTTAGTGTCTAAGACGACATTTCAGTGTATATTTCAGATAAGTAAAACTTTATTTATTATCGACTATCTTATGTTGGATAAATTAAGCAATTTTTCGATCTTTTAGGTCATAATTTCAGTTCTAGCGCCCTTGCTTTCACTTTAATTAATGCACTGTTCAAAACTGTTTATTCACACGATTCGATATTCTTTTTGACTGCTCTCTGCAACGACTTCAAAACGATAGAAATATCGATCCAGAAAAAAAAATATATTTCTTAATTTTTTTCCAAAATAGCCGATCTCACGGTCTRATAAGAGCGTCTAGTTCAAAATATGCAAAATTTCTTGAAACTTAAATAAATTTGACTTAAAAGGTCATGTAATTAACACCGATAATTCAAAAATTTTTAATGCAATGTTAAAAAGAAAAGAACCTACTTAAAGTATACTTATCGAAGTCGCCTTTTTGTTATTAATATTGTTCTAATTTGAAATCTTTGTCCACACAAGACTGTCTATAAGATTCAGTTTGGTAAGCATACTTCTACTCGAAGCTCCATGCGGTCCGCACATGCGCGTACTTCTGATACCTAGACTGATGCATTCCGATGAGATCACAGATACCACATTTGTCAACGAATAATTTTTTATCACATAAAAGCGCAAGTAGCATTTAACATTTACTAACRATATTTGTACATCTATAAATTTGAGTTTCCGRTCATCTAATAACACAGCCAACCCAATAGTTAATTATTAAATTCTTAACTCCTGGTGGTCCAAACGCGAAAAGATACACAGATTGGCAAAGAGGTAAAACTCAAGTCGACCTAGCCTTGGGCTAGCCCGACAAACTAGTAAATTCGTAGAGTTTTAGTGTCAAATTTTRAATATCAGCAAAGTTAAAAGAGCCTCATAAAATCAGCAAATTAGCCAAGTAAAATAATTTTAATTGAAAATRATTTGATTAAAATTCAAAGAAATACGGCACTTCAAAAACACTAAATTTTGCTTAGAAATGTTTGACGAGGTTGTAACAAGTCAAGGTCAACCTCGATCTCATGCCGACAGCCCATGCATTTCTTTGTAAATTTTGCCGACTTTTAAACGCTGTATCTCCTTGAATTTTCAACGAATCATGCTCAAACCTGGTAAACACACTAATTTTACACTGTTCTTTCCAGTGGTGGCAATCGTTTTTCGTTATTTGTTCAATTTCTAATAGCTGTGTTATCCGAGAAGTGGGCTATTTGTACAAACAAATTTGATTTCAGGATTTCTTTGTACGCAGGCATTTGTTTATAAATGAAGACTGCTTCTTCTGCGGTTAGYTCAGTACTGAGGTAGAGCATCGGACTTTAGTGCGGGAGGTTGCAGGTTCAAACCCCGGCCGGACCAACACTCAGGGTCTTAAAATAATTGAGGAGAAGTTGCTGCCTTTGTCTTTCTCCATCTGCAAATGGTAAGATCTTCTCGTCCTCTCGGATAACGACGTAAAATCGGAGGTCCCGTCTCTCTACACTTCACTCACTAACCTGTATTAGAGGGACGTTAAAGAACCCACACCACTGTTCGCATAAGAGTAGGGAATGATTCCCGGTGTGTGTGGCTAGGCCTTACTACTAACCCATACTAATTACTAACCCCTCATGATTGTAAGCCGCGTGGCTGCCAATTGCGCCTTAAACAGCGGTCCGTGTGAAATGATCTATACATGTGAAGCGCCTTTGAACTCAGAGGATATCGGCGCTATATAAATACCACATATTATTATTATTATTATTATTATTA